CACCGCAAAAAGAATTTTTCTTTTATTTTAATTTTTCTTTTTGCAATTTCAAGTTTCTGTTTTTTTTATTTTTCTGCACCACCCACCCCCCAACACCCGCACAATTTATTTTTTTTACTTTTTTCTTGTAATTTAAATTTTTATTTTTTTCATTTCACTGCCCCCACCCCCTAGGAAAAACATATTTTTTAAATATATTTTTCTATTTTAATTTTTTCATTTATCGGGTTAAAGGTTCAAAATTTTACAAGTTCCAAAATTATGAGTTCGGAGGTTTATGTGTTTGGAAGTTTATGGGTTTAGAAATTATAAAGTTTACGGGTTCGAAATTCCGCGATTTTTAAAGTTTAGCGGTTCGAAAGTTTATGAAATTTGTGGGTTCGGAAGGTTGTTGATTTGAAAGTTTATGGCTTCATGTTTATTATATCTAAATTATTTATGAATACTCTTGAGAAGTCATTTTCCTTAATTTTCGTACCAAACACCGAAAAATGAATAAGATTACTACTTGTTTTCCAAGAAAATATTTTCTTGAAAAATATTTTTCACGGAAAATATTTTCCGTTAAACTAAACACACCCAATATGCTAGAAGTTTATACATAGGAGCTCCATAATCCCGCATATTATGCTAGAACTTTCCGTGTTTCCGCAAAACAGTGACTATTTTTCAATTACTAATCTGTAAAATGACTAGCCCGTGCTATTTTCATGTTCATGTCGAACTTTCCCATAAAAAAAAAAAGGTTTTTCCCGCACTCTCCAAATATATATCCTTGTAAATCAAGGGAAAATGTTTAAACAAGTCATCTAAATAAAGGAAGAAAAGGTTCAACGCGATTAGAGTGACCCCAAATAAGTGAAGAAAACATAATACAGTTCTCACAAATACAGAATAAAAACAAATACAGAATAAAGAGAATTAGTGTTTGTCTTCATGTAATTTATAAGTCACAGGTTCAAATCAGAGAATTATTAATCATTGATGTTTGTATTAGCCTATAAGAATAAACTGGCTACATTATTTCTTTGGAGTGCAGCAAAAAAAGCGTAAACTCAATTCTAAAAGTTACAGTTGTCTTTCTCTCTCTGCCTATAACTGAAAAAAAAGGAGCATGGCCCTAATTCTCTAAACCTTATATGAATGTGGAATAGTTCGCACACAAAGCGACTTTTTACTATTGATTAGATCTCACAATTTAAGCCACGCTTCATTTTATAAATTATGCACTAGTTGCATTAAATTTAAGAGTCTAGACACAGTTTTCTCAATCTTTAAGAATACTAGTGTTTGGTTAGGTAACTAAAGCATACATGATCAGAAATTGTATCGTTGGCCTTAAAAAGAGCTTTCTAATTTTGTAGAATAATTAAACTTTAGTCTTACAATTGCTGCGTAGTGACCGTATTTAAAAAACAAGTTGTAAAGAATAATAAAAATTACTACCTTTTTTCCTTGAATATAAGAATTGAATAAAAAGAACAATATATGCTCTACCATGGTCAACCTAATTTATACTACTTATCAGCTTTCGACCAATCCCGTGTGGTTTTCTCTAAAATCATTGTAAAATTTTGTTCGAACACCCAATAATCTTTCCAAAAAACTATAAACCCATCGACGAACAAAGGTAGAAAACCGACATGTTTCACTGCAACACTATGTTCGGCTGTTTTTTAGCTCACACTATTTTCTCCTAAAATTCTCGCTCCATTCACGAGTATTCATAACCTTGTATATAACTTCTATCTCTTATTATTGGATATGGAACTTGGATGCTTCATTTTACTAGATTTCAGACATAAATAATTTTATTAATGAAATGACATGTTACAAAATTTAAAATGTTTGGTTTAATTTGTTTGATTTGTCCTAGGAAGCTCTTATACTAGGAGCTGCCATACCTGCACATGAGAATATTCTCTCTTATCTAATCTACCTTTATGTTCATTCTCAAGTCATTAAAAAATAAAATAAAACAAATTTTAAAAAATAGGAACATTTTTTCTAATTAGGCTGCAGCCTTGTTCACTCTAATTTCTTAACCGCTACAGTTTGAACATCTGACCAAGGACACCAACATTTTTTGTTTTTGTCCACTCAAAAGAAACATATATTAAATTGCTTTTTGAATTGGTCTATGTATTCTTTTTCACCTTATTGGATTTTTGTGTTGGGAAAAGATGCAACAAAAGGGTCCCAATATAAGTAATTTGGTCAATATCTTTTTGAACCATGTAAAATACGCCCATTTGGCATTTGGAAATACAAAAGCCTATAGTCTAAGATGTTATACTAAGTGTAGCCATATGTGAACATCATTTTTCATTTAATTAATTTTAAACATTGAAATATACATTTGGATGTAACTTGTTACTCCCTCCGGTTCATAATAAGTGTCTAATTTACTTTTTTATTTTGGTTCAAAATAAATGTCCAATTATGCAATCAAGAAAGAATTCAATTTATTTTTACAAAATAACCCTATGTACATATCCCTAAAAAGTTTTCTTACTCCTCACATTAAATGTTTGATTAGGGGTAGTTTAGTCATAGTAGGTAATTTTGTATAGAATTTAGTATTTTCTTAATGAACGTGATAAGGGCAAATTGACACTTATTGTGCACCGGAGGGAGTAGTTACTTTTGACTCAGATCGAAATAGGATCGCTCATATGAGTTGATCTGATCTAGTTAAGAAGGACTAAGGTTATTAAATAATCTGCTGATCTTTCTTATATTATTTTTTGCATGATTGAGATTAAATAAGAAGAATTGTCATTTTTGTGACATATCGCCCCTAAGAGACGGAATTAAAACGAGTGAGATATGAATTTTTGAAGTTATGTGATACTTTAACTATTTTTGGAAATAATCACATTCTAAAAAGTTCAATGGAAATTATTTATTTTCTGTCATGAAACGAAATTTACATTGATAAAATCCATTGGTCAAGAGGTTTTCTCTGATATCATTTTTTAAATAACTCATAACTAACACCAAAGAAGGTGTGAGAGGTTTGCCATCGCGTGTTTGAGGAGAGGCACAGACAGGCCAAAAAAGTATGGGGAAAAGTGATAAGGCGGGACATGGTACATCTGCAGCTTATCGAGGACATGACTCTTGATAGGAGGATGTGAAAGTCCATAATTAAGGTAGAGGATTAGTAGATAGTTGAGTGTATTTTTTTTCCTTATCTATAGCATTAATATTATTCTCGCATTTGCTTGTGCGTAGATTTCTATCACTACTATGTTTTTTTTTGCTTCGGTTATCTTATTATCTTGTTATTGCTCTTGCACATTGTACTGCTTCTTTTCCCTGGCTTCTCCATTACTGTATCTCTTTTCAACAATGTTGTGACTATGCTTTTCCTGAGCCGAAAATCTATCGGAAATAACCTCTCTACCTTCACAAGATAGGGGTAAGGTTTGCGCACACACTACTCTGTTGTTGTAACGTATAACTAACACGAGAGATGAATTTTTAAAGTTTTGTTGTCATTTTCGTATTTTCTATCAACTTATACAACATTGATTATAATGCTTCACTTTATCGAAGTGCTTCAGCTAAAGGCGAAAAACTTTGTTTAACTAGCCCTTCAACATATGTACTTCAAAAAGAAACTACTTCCAATTTTCTTTAATCAGAAATTCCTGTAAATAGCAAGTTCCTAATATCATTCTTCCAAATGAATAAATCCATACTTTGTGCTATTCTGATGCACTTCTCTCAAAATTTCTTCGTCCTTTCACAGTTAAAAAAGAAAAGAGATGACAAGATTCACTTTTAATTGAACCCTCACAGAAATTAAGGAATCGTTCGGCAGTAATCACAGAAGTGCTTATACAATTACATAAATGATTCAACTGACTTCTTATGACGCAGTTCTAGGTACGGCTCTTCTAAGGTCGTGATTCATCTAATACAAAACAACTTATGCAAGGATATTTATACATCACACTTAAGGAATATACTGGAAACAATGACAAGCGATATAATGTCGAATCTTCTCTGGAAAAGTGACAATAGACATGCTTCTGTTGATCTGTTACACCCTTTGAAAGTAAATGCTTGTTCATTTAATTGTCCTGGTCATGTCTATGAATCAGTATTTTTCAATGATACCTAGGTTGCCAGCCTAGTACAATGATGTTTGTTCATAACCAAGTGGTGAATTGGCTTTCGTTTTGAGAAAAAACAATGGAAGTACAAGAGACGGATAAACCATTAAGAAGAACACATCAAGGACTACAAAGTTAACGATGTGACAACTGACCTTACTGTCGGCAATCACACAATTTCAGATGCATCATCTGGAGTTTGAACGTTTCCGGTCTTCAGTATATTTTCCAGTGCATTCTGACATCTGATGAAGTCCATATTAGTATGTCTATGAAAACATCTATTTGCAAAAGAATGCTAAATCAAATACCTCCAAGGTAGATGGTCCAGGAACATGTATGGCGATACTATTATATCTTTGAATGCTTCTCTTTTTGCTACATAGGCCCTATACCTGCAGCTTCTCTCCCAAGTTCTCCAGCGTTTCCACAATGGTTTCTGAAGGCCGTCCTTCTGTGGCACAATATGGATAACAAGACCAGGTAAAAATAACTCTGGGATATTCAATGATGACTTATGTTCAGAAGATGGAACAGCCTCCATAAACTCGGCTAAAGGATCACCAAATGGACTCGAATCAGAAGTAGAACAATTAAAAGGACTGTTGAAACGATTTGATGAATCAGTTGAACCGATTTTATCATCAGAGCTAAAATCTGTATCTATGTCATGCAAAAAAGAGGATCCTGGTTCGTGCTTTGCTAATCCTGCAGAAATAGTTAGCATTGTTGCATGAAAAAGTGAGATAGCTAAAAATAGAACAAACTGCAGACAAATACAGTCAACTAAACACAACATGATTAAATGAGGCATGTATTCACACGGAATATTCAAAAAAAAGTCCTGTAGTACCATTTTCATGCTGGCTATGGTTGATTTTGTTCGTACAATTTGACATTGCTGTCAAAGAATTCACTGACGATTCTCCATCATTCATGCTTTGCTGACAGACACTCAGTGAAGTAAAGTGATGAGCAAGTTTAAAAATTGTTGTAATATCAACAGTGCCATCTTCTGATAGTGCCCTAAGTGCAGCTGCTTGAAGTCTCATAATTGATGCTACTGAAAGGCGAGCTGAAAATTCATCATTGTTTACAATGCTGAAAAGATGTCAATAAAGGTGGAAGTTAATTTTATAGCATATGAGCAGCAACACTCAGTTGTTGCAGAGATAATAACACATTGGCAATACCTGGTAATGAATTCTGAACAAGCATCTGCTACCACCAGACCCACACATGGGAGAGCACCATATGTGTAGACGTGTAAATTCGGATATTGTTTGCGCAGCTGCTCAGCAAAATATAGTAATTTGATTTGTAAATAGGCTAGATGTACTAACTCCAGAAATTAATATAATTAAACAAAGAACTGATAGGTAATACATTGAGGTACGCAAGCACCTTGGGAGATCAAAGTGACCATTAGGAAAACTAGAAGTACAGAGATGAACTTCACATATCTTGACATAACTAGGGTTTGAAACCAGAGAGCAAACAACAACAAACCCAGTGTACTCCTACAAAGTGGGGGGAGGGGGGA